TATATATATATATATATATATATATATATATATATATATATATATATCTGGTTAGAGCAAATGTTATCGAGTGAGGGCAAAGATTATGAGAACACAAAAAAAATACACAACTCGCCATTTAGAAAGAGAAATAAACAATGAAATCAAGTTGGATTAAATTAAAACTTAGGTAAACATAAGCATATTTTTTCTCTGCAACTTGATTAATTATCTTTTCGCATAAGAACGTTCTACCGTGACTTGTGACCTTGTGAGAGTTGTGTGGTTTTTCTTATAGGTAATAAACGTAAAATCTAGTGGCACTTATTTGAGGAAAAGAAAATTCCGGATTGCCCAACAAACTTTCCTTATTCTTACTTATGTACTAAAGGCAACTATATATTAAAAACAAATTTTAAAATATAACTAAAAATATTCTAGTTTTTTTTAAATACTAACCTTGTCAGGAGGGGAAGAAGACAATAAAAGATGCTTCTGGTCAAGTGGTCTCTGGGTTTCCATAGTTAGTTCTACTATGAAGGGCAGCGCGAAGCAAGCCTGACGAAACGTTGTCGTGTAAACAAACACGAGTGGCGCGTGTGTCGCTTTTATAGGCTTGGCGTCGCGGGCGAGGGGTTTGAACGTGAAGCTAGTATTAATTTCGAATGAGGTGATCTGTAGACCTGTATTTTTAAAATCGTTATTTTTTAATGGAAGATGGAAAGTGACGATAAGGTCGACAATTTAGCATACACACCTAAATAATGCCTATTCGCTCTCGCCTTAAAAAGGTATAAGTTATAATGTTCGGGGAACACGTTCGCAGGCAGGGAACTCAACTCCTTAGCCGTTCGCCATATAAATGTAGAACCACAACGCTTCGTGCGAATCTTGCGAATATTTTAAATGTAGGAGTGGGCCAGTCTACGTCTAGTCCCCAATAATGGAAAGGGGAAGGGAGAATGAAATCCTGTAGAATACCGACAAGCAAGCAACTTTACGGCGGTGTCAAAAGCTCTGCAGCTTCGCCTCTTCTAAGTTCGAGTCATCTATAACTTTAAAGCTGCTGACAAAAAGGTTCCGTTGTTTATTTATATAAATACAATGTTGATATGGGCGATTCGGTGATAGATATTATGCTATACCTATTTAAAGAATAAAACACAGTTGACTGTCGATGTTTATGAAGTGAATGTAAGGAAGGAAGAGAATTACATGGCCTACAAGGTATTCGTACCAAAATTTAAATTACCGGTTTTCCTTGATAGTAAATTGGTCACCTGAAGGAAATGCTTTTCGCCGTTTTATCGATTTTAGTGCTAAACGGCGGAGTAGACAAGGCCTACTGATGAAAAATTAAGTTGTTGTTGTAAAAGTCGTTGTGATGGTTATTTCATTGTAAATGATTAAATAATTTTTGTTTCTTTATTTTTTTGAGAATTATACTTTATTTAGAAATATGGATCAAAGTGATAACGATAGCAACTCTACATGCAAGTTAGTAACTTTGAACTGTAAATCGGTAGTGAGCATAATAACTTCTTTGAGTGACTTCTTTGGGTTCTCCGGTAAAAGCGGATGTTTCTTATTTCTCATTTATATTAATGATCTGCCATTCTTTGTTACGGACCATTGCGAAATAGTATTGTTTGCTGACGACATGTCCTTGATTTTTAAAACAGACAGACATGACGTTAACTACGATCATTTAATGATACCTTCTCTAAGGTTATTTATTGGTTTAATGCTAAATTTAGTGTTAAATTTGAATTACCTAACGTAAAATGGACTAGTTCAAGCATAGAAATAAACGGAGAAAAGTTAGACCTTGTTAATAAAGCAGTCTATTTGATATATACGGAAGATATATATGGAAACCATTGAAGTTTACTTTTGTTTCCATATATATCTTCCCAGCAGATTAAGCTCCGCTGCATACGCAGTCCGCAGAATACGTGAGCTTACCGATGTTAGTACTGCTAGACTAGTTTACTTCAGTTACTTATCACAAGTCTAAAAATGTCTTAATATGTCATAAGTTTAAAAATGTCTGTACTTGCTAACAAGTGGGCCTTGGATGCCAAATAAATTATTTATGTATTATTATTATTATGTTTATTATAAACTCTCGCCTCTCCCAAGGCCTAAAAGACTAATTTTGAATTTTTAAATGGGAGAGGCGGTATTTCCCGGCTATGGCACATTATTATTATTAAGATTATCATTACCTAAATTTAAAAACTACATTACAAATGTTTTGATTGAAAAGTCATATTACAAAATTGTAGACTACGTGTTTGATAAAGATGTATGTAAAGACGACATGTCTCTAGATTCCACAAAAATTTGATTCTAAATATATTCCATAGCATTTAAGTTTATTTCAATGAATTCAAAACCTTGAAACGCTCCCCTGTAAACTTGGCAATTTCGACATACGAGACTTTACGTAGTAGGGGTCGATATGGTCTGCGCTCTTTTTACCAGTGTGCATGCCTACGAATTCTGTGGAGTGTCTCAGTGAAATTAGTGCAGTAATTGAAAATCTTGATGTGATACCGAGTTTATTCTGGGTGATTTTGTGTGATGTGAGTTGTTTTGGAAAGAACTAACTGGTTTATGTTTAATTGTCAAAATTGGATTTGTGCGGACGTCGAGAAGTTGCAGGCCGTCTTGCCGACCGCCTACATGTTCATTAGTGATGCACACGGTTGTTCGAACTAGTTGGATCACCGTGTGTTCACGGGGGCTGGGTGGCAGTCGGTGAAGAGTGTGAGTATAAGGTATGGGATGTACTGGTCTGATCACTTTCCCCTTGAAGTTAGTTGCAACTTTTATGTACTGAGGACAAAGTTGCTTTATCCGGGAGCCGTGATTAGATAAGGTTAGGTATATGGTGTGAGCGTGATAGCGTACAAATTGAGCAGTATAGTATCATCCGTAATGACCAACTCGTTTTCCGAAACGGTTTCACTAAATGCTCATTCGGAATGTCATCTTAGATCATAGAATAGTAATCGATGGCTTATATAAGACGGTGATAGAAGACGGTGGTCCGTAAATTACGACATGCGCCTCCTCAGTGCGTATTCCTCAATGCTACCGTTAGAGGAGATGCGGAAATGGCTTGAGGTCACTAAGACCTCAAGGATAAATTACAGTGGTGCCAGAGGAACCAGAAGCGAATTAAACTGCATAAAATGATATCACATCATAAGTTAAAGAAATTTCACAAGTTTTGGAAGAAATCGGCAAAATGAATCCGAAGACAGGTCGTCCGGTGAGTGTTGATGGCGTAGTTGACTGTAAGAATATCACAAACTTTTTCATGGAGCATTTCAAAGTCGAGACCCCTGAGTCATACCATAGTACCCCACGTATCTTAAAATTCATTGCTAATGATGTGGCATCTATCATTAAGGGGATGACGAGGGGTACATCACCTGGGTATGATGGTTTGAGCGTACAGCATTTACAACGAGCGATTGTCGGGGGTTTTATATCAATTACATAATCTTTGTTTCAGGCACTCGTACCTTAGACGGTTTGATGCAGACGATGGTGGTACTTCTTGTTAAGAACAAAACGGGTGATGTGTCTGACAAAAACTACTACACACCTATATCGTTGGCCACTACATTCATGATGCGCAGTTCGGGTTCAGGCCTGGACCTTTTACAGAGTCCGCAGCGCATTACCTCAAGTATACTGCTCGGTATTACATGGAAAGAATTACGCCTGTGACTGTCTTCAGATTCCAAGTATTCGGAACTTTACACAATCGAGCATCTTTCAGTCCTGTATTACCCATTGATAGGTATAAGTTTTCTTTTGATCTTGCCAAACTTACCAGTCCTGTACGTAACTCGTCTACGTTTTGCCCTCGACTATTATTTTGTCGTGGACCCAGCGTGCAATTGGACGACCACCACGTCTAACCGGATGCCCACCACAACCCCATTTAAGGTCTATAACACGGTCCCCAACTTTTTAAGCTTTCGTCTGAACTCGGAATTTCGTGTTTCGAATTTTATCGATATGATAGAAGAGTGTGATGCAGAGCATGTTACGCTCCACGGCCCTTTGTGCTACTCGTATTCGGTGAACAGTTTTCTTAGTAAGCGTCCATGTTTCGAAGTGTTGTCGGGTCTTCAAGTTATAATCTATAAATAAAAGTATTTGTATATCGAGTTCTTAGGTTTTCGCGATTGTTACAGATTGGAAAAGAAACTATTTTTCCGAAATTAAATCGCTTGCTTTTTCAAACAAATATACGCGATTTAAATCCGGAAAAATAGTTTTATTTCCTAATAGTATTTGGAGATTTTGTCTATCCAATATTCGTCAAACACCCAGTCCGACAGATAGGATTGGGTGTTTAACGAATTTTGGCCACAATCTTATAGGATTATAGAGGATATTTTTATTTTATTTCATTTCGTTATCATGAAGGATTTTAAAGTTATAAGGCGTTTTTATTTGGGAAAATGAAATATGTATTATTCTGACACTTGAATGGAACCGTCTTCAACCCAACGATATCTATGTAAATGCAAGCGTATAAGACCCGTTATTTTTTATTCATATTTAAAATATTGTAAAACAAAATCATATTCGCTAGTCTGTCAACCTAAAGCTTGGAAAAGATACTCTTAAAAACAAATAACGAAATATTGTTAATTAGGCTAATTTTTTTTTTTTTATGTTCAATCTAGTCTTACTCTTATTAAGGAATGATGCTTTAACTCAGGTATATTTCAAAGGCGTAGGTAAATGAAGACGGATGTGAAATTATTATTGATAATAAATAATGTATGTATATTATTTATTATTATTTATTCTAGTACTATTATTATTTTCTACATGCTATGTTGCCATATCCAAACACAGTAAAGTGTGCAGAGTATTCATTGTACCTCTCTCCGACTAAGATAAATGGTGTCGACGCAATGTTCTGGTAACATTGCGTCTTAAATATTTTTGTTTCTGTTATGGATCTGATTTCATGTCAAGGTTGAAAACTAAATAGAAGTATTGATAAAAAACGTTAGTATTTTGTATCAGGTGAACAAAATTAGTACCACCAGTCAGCCGTGATTATGGGATCCGTAAAGCACCCGAGGCATTGGTTTGTTCGAAGTTACAAATATAAACGAAAAAAATCATATAAAGAACTCGATACATAATACACTACCACCGTACTTTTATTAAAGATTATAGTAAATGTGCTCTACGAAGCTCTAAAGTAAGAAAAAATCATTTTCAATATGCAAGTTCTAATAAGAATCTTGTAAAGTGCACGCCACACGAAAGTACCTGTACTCAAAAACTCACTTTCCACTAAAAAGAACCTATAGTTCAATAATAAGTGGGCATCTTTGGCAGTTTGTAAATATTGAATGATCCCCAGATATCTTAGAGGATAAAAAAAAACAACCAGATATGTACTCACATTTAATCTTGTTTTTATTGCGTGTTTGGTAAATGAATTTGCGATTTGTTATTCTTTTTTATAAACTTTGATATCATGAACTCCTTCGTCATTTACCTGAATGATAGCACGGCTCTGACGTAAAATGAATGACAACAACAAGTCTAATAATTTATTTTTTTCCATCCTCTAAGCTAATAATGTTTTTTATTTATATAAAAAGTTTCTATGTGGTTTACTTCGTCATATTGTCAGTTTGATATTTTAGTGTTATTGTGGCACTTTCACAATTATTTGATTTATTTGTTTAATTACATGTTTACATAGTTAAAGAAAATACAAAATGGTCCAGCTAAAGCAGGTGTCGTTACGATTGAAATCTATTAAAAACATTCAGAAAATCACAAAAACCATGAAAATGGTGTCAGCTAGCAAGTAAACAAATTTGCAATACGTAACTTGACATTATAATGTAGTTATTAATATGTAAAGAAATACGTAGTCTCTTAAGTTATAGCCTGTATATTTCGTTTTATCTTATCCATAAACAAAAAACCAGATTCACAAAGGCCGAACGAGAACTCCAAGCTGCCAGGCCTTTCGGTTATGCGCCTCGTAAGTTCTATGAGTCTAGTCATTTGGTCAAACCGGAAAAGAAAGACGCTAAAGGAGCCCCTGAAGCTGCGGCAGTAGCACCGGAAACACCAAAAGTAGAAGATAAAGAGGCAGAAAAGACGACAAAGAGACTCTATGTCGCTATTACTTCCGATAGAGGTAATTTTTTGTGTGCACAAAATAAAACAATGTTTTCTAAGTAGATAATTTTAACCAGTTTAAATAAGTATTATCTAGATTCGTTCAACTCAAACACGTATCAGTAACGAGCATGCGTTTTCTTTTAATGAGAGAGAACATTTATAGTTAAGTTTTTTGTAAAAAAGTAGATTTAGAGGTAGTAGTAATGGTAGTAGTAGTTATTATTATTATAAAACTAATATCGCATCTAAGCAAACTACCTCGTTAAGTAAATCTTGGAAAAAGGTAACAACTTACTGGTAACGTATTAAGCACTTACACGTAATTCTTTTTATGACAAAATTTCCCATGTTTTTGCTATATATTACGCCTAGCCTCAATGTCAATTAAGTGCGGGCAATTATATTACGAAATTAGATAAAAAGGAAACAAACTCGCATTAACACGTACATAATTAAGTTGCAATTCTGACATGTCCTCGATTCCCTATATATTGTTCAAATCTAATCAAGCTATGATTTTTCCAGGCAATCGTATAGTAGTGTAATGTTATCCTTTTATTTCATCACAAACTTGATATGACCCTATTGATGTTATTGCTGTGAACTGCGTCGTGTTTGCAATCGTATGAGGCGTGGCACCTGATAAATATCTTATTTGTGCCATTATAGAACAACTGAACCTCGTGGATGTTCACGCAAAGGCCTTAGACTTTGCGTCATCGAGTAGGTATACTATATATTCTCCATATATTTATTCAAATGGAGCATAACAGACTTTTATAATACCAAGTGATTGGACGAACAAGTCGTGCACCCGATGGTAAGCGACTCGCCTATCCATAACAGTTGCAGTGCCCTTTAGACCTTTTAATCGCAAAGATCTTACGGGCACTCCCACTGTGCCCGTCACCCTGACACATAAGTTAACAAGTTCCTTGTGCCTGTAATTTCACCAACACCCTTACAAACCGGAACGCAGTAATGCTCACATTACTGCTTGGCAGCAGGAATAGGTAAGGTAGCAGTGCTACTAAATTACGGGTAATTATGTTAAAAACAATACTTGGCACATTACCAAGTATTGCTTTATACATTATTATGTACAGAGCCCATTGAAGACATTCACGTCACCTATTGGGTATCACGTAATTAAAAATTTTACAACAAAATTTTATGTTCTTTCATTGAAATTAATCATCTTCTTATTATAACATCCAACGAAATTTATAATAGAATTATTATAATATATTTTATATAAATATACAAAACAAGGTGAAAATAAAGTGTTTTATGAAACAATTGTTTTATTTTCGGAATTTTATTTTGGTATGGTTTATTACAGTACCAGAATTGGCCTTAAAATAATCTCTCATTAATTAACGTCTGTGACAATCACAAGTCCGAGATCCAATGGATAGTCGAAGGGCTTCTCTCCACGTCAACCATCAGAAATCCTTCGTGAAATTATTGCCTACCCAACATTGCCCTACCAACAAATCAATGCTGCCCAACGTTAAAATGCATGCAATGTATCAAATGTCCGATACTTGATGATTATGGAGAAGCGGATTTCGAAACTGTGGATTTCTACACTTGATTGATGATACTCCGGTGTTTAATTGGAACAGTGGAGAAAGCCCTTATGGAAGGCCGGACTAACCCAAAAGTGTATAGTGCAGGTCTGTGTGGGGGAGTACACAGCGGTGTAGCAAGAAGAATCCGTCGCGAGATGAGTGCCCGCGGGGCCGCAGACCAGCCTACACATCGCTTGGTGTGCGTTGGGGACAAGTCCCGTGCGATGTTGCGACGCACGTTTTCCAAAAACATGCTTATTAGCTTTAAGGAGGTAAGTTTCCATTTTCAAATGAATTATTATCAAAAATTAAATATACTTTGAGAATTTCATAACAGCCAATGGTCCAATCAGTCGTATTCAGGCTTAGTTTCTTTGGATTATTTTTGTTAATTTTTTTTAGATTTTGCCCTAAATTTTATTATTAGGAAGGTGCTATTTAGAACTATGTTTCTATGTTTTTAAAACCTTAAGCGACATAGTTGCGACCGTTGGCAAACATGTGTGCCTTACAGGAAAAAGGTTGAGTAAAGTGTATTAGACTATAATACGAGTATAATAATAATTGACGAGTATAATTATCTACTTATTTGTCCCGTTGAGGGTAAACACGTACACACCACAAAATCAAACTGATAATGCACCACAAAATCAAACTGATAATGTAATTAACTGAAAGTAATTAACAGAAATTATATTTGTTTATTGCTTGAAATAAAACTCTAGGATTGCTTAAACTACATTTTTGTTAGTATTCAGAACACAGGTAGCTTTAAAAGCTCCAACATTTGTCATTGCTGTTTTGCCCATTTGGCAGACAATGTTTTCCGCATACTTGCGAGGAAGTTAAACAAAATCTTTAAAATGTTTGTGTTCCGTTGTGAGTAAGTAATCTCATAAAAATGAAATAATGCCTATTGTATTTACATTCGTTTCAATAAATAAAATCAAAAGTTCACTGCTTTCTCGAGTCTCGGACGCGAATATGCCCGTGTTCCTGCTAAATGAAAAAAATACAATATGTTGTTATATATTTAATTTTGTTTTAAATGTGAGATACTTTAGGCTTGTCATTAATGTGTATTAGGAAGACCAGAGGTATTAAACTGCTACCTTGAGGAACTCCATATAGTATAATTATAAAATCTGATTTATTTATATATAATTTCCTTGCTTGTTATTAATAATGATATTATTAATTCTGGTAATTTTAGTCCTATATTTAATAATATGGCAAATCCTTTCACCACGATGACAAGCATTATAGTGTATACCATCGATACAATAAGAAGTAGAAATCCTATCTTTTAAATATTATTTTATCATTTTATGTGTGTTTCCTCTTACACCATTCGAATAATGTTTATCAGTCATGACATGTTATGTCATTGTATACGTAGTCGAAAGCTTTTCTCATATCCATGTTCAATATAGCACATAAGTACCGTAAAATTTATATTATGTATATCACAATATAAGAGTATAATTATATTTCTCAAAATATTTTTTCTGTTTTGTAGTCAGCCTCTTCTGCATTCATGCTGTAACTTTTTTTAGTTATTCAAATGTCTTTACGAATTTATATGCCCACAATGATGCTGCATTGCAGTTTATATCAAGCGTGTCGTCATTAGGCTGGCTTTATCTCTTCTCCTATAATTATATACTCGTTCTTTGCCTGTAATACGGTCAATTTAAAAGTTTCTTATTTCTCTTGTTTCTCATGTCTTTGACTATTTACATTGACTTGGTCCATATCAGCCTTACAAATTATATCCAGATCTGGGATGTTGTGTTTGGATTGTTGTGTGGTCGTCACATCTCTGCGTACATGTTTGTTCAGTTGCCATTAAATTAAATCGTGGACCGGACATGTCAGTACAATCTATATGGTAATGCATGAAGTCTTTCATGCAGAATGAACGTTTCAGATTTTGTTTTCCTGTAATTTTGTTTAGGCTTTTTGTAGATTCATTAATTCTAGATGCCATTGTTTCATTCTTTATTTTAATGTCAAAGAAAATAAATATTTACTATGCCTAATATAATCAAATTTCTTATAAAAAATCGTTAATAATAAGAAAACCTGAACCTTGAAGAACCTTGCTTCTCGCTGCGGTTCGAAGTGGAAACTTCTGATTAGTAGTGTATGGTCGCTCAGAGAGCTAAGAGTTCTCTTTGCAATATAAATTGTTGGTCAGCTTCGTAAATTTACATTTGACTTTTAAGTCAAATGTAAATATATGAAGCTTTAGCGTGCTCGCGCTTTAGCGCGACAGATTGGTCACTTTTGAAAGTTCAATACACTCAAATTATTGTTTGACAGTGAACACGAGAACGATAATTTTTTATCCTAATTTACATTATTACTTACAATTACTCAGAATTACCTTTACCTTTTTATATTCTCACATTAACTTTTAGGTATAATTTTGAAGCAAAAGTAGGGTTGTCGCTTTGAACCGTTTTATGAATAATTTTTTACTGATAACTACTTTATTGGTCATATTATGTATGAAATTAATGGAAAAATAAATAGTTAGATTACGGTATGAAATATATCCAACTACAAACTTTTCAATTTAGTCTAAACAAGTCATCAATATAGCTTTTTATGTTATACCATTATAGATCGATGAAATCTTATCATTGATCAGTCGATGAAAAATTAATTCTGAATATAGTACTAACACTGTAATGTCATCGTACTGATGATCGTCTCTAGGTACTCGTGAAATGTTTGACAATTTTGTATGACCAATTTTATTGTACAGCACCTTCGATCGCCAATTATCGCTGTATCTCGCGTAGGAGGTCCGAGCGGAACCGCGCTAATATTTTTTTCGCTTTTATTGAATCATCACAAAGTTTTTTTGATCAGCCCTGACTGGTACCATGTTAATAAGAGTTGCCACTCCTCGATAAAATACTTAGTAGAGGTACTCTATTATTTTGATTTATTTTGAGTACATATTGTTTCTTGCAATTCACAACTTTCTTGCGTTTCTTTCACAGATTGGTCGCGTTGCTCCAACATTTGCAGACGCATCTGCGATAGCATCCCTCATAGCAGAGTCTAAATTTACATACGACGTCGGCGAGATATACTATAATAAATTTTTCAGTGCAGTCAAATACGAATTGACTATCATCCCCTTTTTTAACAAGTACAAAATTGAGGTAAGGGTTTTTAACTTGAATAATATCAGAGCACCGTGGTTTAGTAATAGGCTAGCCAGCCAGACCAAAAATTTTGAAAATTTGACCTGTTAGTCATGCATCATTCAATTACGTGTTTTCAGAAAAGTTAATATAATATTTATTTATTTATATTTAGTGACATATTTTGTCAGTATCTGGTGACGAAAGTTATAAACTTCTCACAGGTGAAGGTAAAGAATTTAAAGATCTACAACAAGCACATAGAGATATTCATAAGATCTGCCGATTCGATCTGTAGCGCTGTTCGTAAGAGCGGTAACCACGATGAGGCAACAAACTCTGGTTTACAGTCCAATCGGAGTGAAGAAATTTTTCTTTGTGTTTGTTCTATCTTTGTATCAATAATAAGGTTTATACATTATGACAAACTACTAGCACAATGGGAAATAATGATTTGAACACACACCCCAGTACATTTCGTTCCAATAATAATTTATATTATTTTTCTGATGGCAAGAATGTAGAAAAATATTAACATACTAAATAATTAGTTGGGGCGCCTTGAAATTATACGCTTATAGAAGCGCTGCAGTGGCACCACTGTGGCGCTGCAGACGCGCCTCTACCTCAAGCGTAATTTGATAACGCCCTTATATTTTGTTACCAAGCTCTATAATACCTACATATCGTTCCTAAAACATACGTGGATTTTTATAGTATAATTATTTCCATTGCGTTTTCTTTGACCTCAAGTTTTATAAACGTCTCTTTCTTAATAGTCAGCGCCAAACATGCACACGTTCGATGAAGTAGAAGAAGATCAATTGGAGATGTATTCAGAGTTTACTCTGGCCGCGTTGCTGTACTACGTGTTGAAGGAGTCTGCAGCATCTGAGCAGTCAGCTCGAATGGCGGCCATGGACAACGCAACCAAGAATGCGTCAGAAATGATTAAAAAACTGACACTGTTGTTTAACAGAACTCGTCAAGCTGTAATCACCAGGGAATTGATTGAGATTATTTCTGGTGCTGCGGCTTTGAAGTAATTTTGATCGATACGAAATGTAACATTTCTGTCGATCGATGTACGATTGGTGATTTGAGACAATACGTGGAGCGACATTTCAGATTTAGTCACCGAACTACGAAAATATTGCTAATTTGTAAGTACTTTGGTACGTCTATGTAAAGTTACCACACTATTCGATGCGGAATCGCTTCGACTCGTATGAAGTGAAGCAAACCGTATAATTCTTTTTTTCTCTTTTACTGCACGAAGTCAAAGCTTTATACGACATTCTCAAGTCGGTTTCACGTCTATTGGTTGGCGACTCCCTAAAGTGACGTGACAAACAAAAGAAAAAGGATTCCGTATTGTAAAACTATGTAAAAAGGTATTCATTGGTGGTTACGCCAGTTCATACATGAATGATATTTATTTGTTTAATGCAGCAGTACCGCTAATTAGAACAGAAACTGCATGAAACACGAAGTTCAGTTACTTATAGATTTTTTATTATTATTATAGCAATTGTATTTATAATTTTTTAGATACAAATATAGTCGCCCACGCATAAATGTTTACATTTTATTATTTAACATCAATAATTAATAACTAACGTAAATACCTATGTTAATAGATATTACAAATAGGATATTGAAAATAATGTACATTCAAGTCATATTATTGTTAATGATTTGATAATGACAACATTAATTAGCCATATCTCGAAACCTACCCATAATATCTGCATTACTATATTTCAATTAACACCTAAGTTGTAAGATTTGTTTTCGTAAACTTAGTACTTGATATAACATTACAGTTGTAAGATTACAGTAATATTTTATTAATTCCTACTTTTAGTGAGAATCATTAGCAGCATAACTTTGACTTTACATTCTTCTATTTCTTTAAAAGTTTTAACATAAGTAATCTCTGTTACTCAATTTAGATCACAATATTGAAAATCGATGTGTACGAAAATGAATTTAATATCAATGGGATTCCTCTACGTATTTGTCATAAGCAGTTTGATCTAGAAGATTGTTGAGTTCCTCCGGCTTCGTCAACTTGACCTTGAACAGCCAACCTTCCCCATAACAAGATTGGTTGATTATTGATGGGGTCGACTCCACAGACGTGTTCTTTTCTGTTACCTGGAATATGGAGATAATTATTAATTTAAGTTGCATTGTCCACGGTTCGGGTAGTACAACTTTAGGTTTTAATCTCCTTTATCTTGGGAAACTTTAACATACAAGAGCACAACGTTGGTGAGATCGCTATACAGATCACAATCATCAATGGTTGTCGCCGCTCTCCGTAACGGGACCAACTTGCAATGAATAGCATAAGTATTTTTATTCTACTGTATCAGAAAGGAAATTAACATTGATATCTTCGAAATTTTTCTCTTTGAGTTGGTTGATCAGGAAAAGTATTTATTACTTCATTTCACGTCATTGTAGTCTACAGATTCATCATCTTATGGTACAGTTGACCATCTGATGACGCTATTTAGAGTGTGGTATGATAAAATGTCGCTGACTGATGGGCCTGTCAGAATGGAAGGCGACAACCACTTATGACTGTGGTCTCCATAGGGCTCTCGTTAACTGCATCTTAATACTTCTCACATAAAAATAACACAATACATCTCCTCCTTTCCACTTTGTCCACTCAGATACCTTTAGAATAGATTTAATAATGGCATGCGTGAACAGCACATAATATTGCTTAACTATTCCTATTTAAAGCTGACATGCTGTTTAAGTATAATATATTTATATATATTAATGTGTGTGTGCACAAATTTCTCAGATTCTCTAGTACCGATACATATGTCACACTGGATAACTACCGTTAAAGTTGTATCATGGATATTTACGGCGGGGTTCCAGTCAGAGAAGCCTTGGCAGACGTAGTGATTCTTAAGTGCAAGATTAATAATGAACATATAGGTTAGCCTGGTCCAAGACGACGTATCCGAAGAATAGGAAGAGTAAGGAAATAAATACAATTTCGATAGCCTCGAAGTTGTTCACAATCATAGATTTAGTATTTCACAAGACGCAACTAAAAGTGGAGATTGTTGTGCGGAAAAATATTTAAAAAAATATTGCAAACTAAAAATCTGCGTAAGTCTGAACATTTTTTTACATTTTCTTAAAACGTTTTGATATTTTCAAATTATCAGAGACTAAATTAAGCATATGTTTTAAAAACTGACTCTCAACCAATTCTTCTGGTCACTTGCAACATATGGGGTTAGCAGTAGTTTTATTCTGAAATGGGTAGAGTACGCAACTAGAAGTGTTGTTAGGGTCCGGGCGTACTCCCTTGTTTTCTTTTATAACAGTTTATTATTAGAAAAAGTCAGACCTAAAATAAGACAAAAATTACAAAAAATGTCATTACCAGAAAGATATGGCGGTGCCCAGAGCCGTACAAAGAGCAGTGCAGATTGAACTGAATGCTCTCTATACCATATGTGGTGTCATGAAGCTTGTACTGGATACGAGAGATTGGGAGCATTCGTATGTGATTTGTGCAACCAATAAATGAAATCCTATGAAAAGAGGTTGCGTACTCTGGCCGATGCCCATACGTACCCATAGTATATGTGAGAGTACACAAATTCCATTTTGCACTATTTTATTTATTACAACCGCACTATAAATTAATTTCTTTGCGTGTCACTATGTAAGAGTCAGATTAGTAAACTACTAAATAAAACAATTCTTGATTTTCTAACCCTTTTCGTTTTCATTCTACACCGTCTCAAAACCTAAGTGCGTCTTCTTAGACCAGGCTACTCTACGGTGTTTTTCTTGTGGTATCGGGCGGCGTAAACAGAGGAGTCCAGTTGAAAATGCTGAAGAAGTATCCGGCCGAACAGGAACTAGCAGACTAAGTTTTTTGGTAATTCAAAGCAGGCGGATTGGTTGAACTAGGTTTTGAATCATTTTGCTGAATATAATATTGACCATCACCTACGTCATCTGATGCAAAGAATTCTTTGCATCAGATGACGTAGGTGATAGTCAATTATAGTTGAAATAAATAAGTTAAAAATAAATCTTGGTAAATGTTTTATACGAACATGCTTGTAATTTGATAATAGTTATTTTTGATACAAGTGTGGGAAGTTAGTCATTATGTATCACCGCACGTGTATCAAACGAAATTTTTTAATACACTTGCGAAAAAACTACATTGAAAGTAAAATAATACAATATATTTTAGTGGCGCGGCGCGTAGCGGTCTCGCGAAAGACTCACCTCCGGTCATTGTTAATAATCAATCAGCCATCTTTATGGAATATTTTTGGTATTTTTAAATGTAACCCGTTGTTTTATAAAACACTTATGCAATTTAAACAAATAAGATGTTTGTAACTAAATATAAGTTTTAATGATGAATGCCTTACGTCACAGAACACATAAATATTAAATAAATATACAACCTCTTTAGTTCTATGTTTAAGACTTGAATCAACAGTAAATTAAAAAAAGATAGAAAAGTAGAAAGCACTAGTGCGAAAAATCCAAGTTTCGGCACGATTTGTAGTACGAAAAATACCATGTTTTGTGCAACTGTATTAAAAATAAAATTTTAATTAAAAGGGATCTATTAACATATGAATAGAAGAACTATTTAAGGTTATGAATACTAAATTGTATCGTTTAGGCAATTAGGATGGACGCATTTTGTAAAGCAGTTAATTGGTGATTTTAATAAAAGTAAAGAATTTATCACTATGAAGCCACGAGACTCTCTCAAGACGTCGAGCAAAAGCTATCTATAGGACAAGATCACGATCCACAGCACTGAGGAGCATTTTAGTAGCAGTAGAGCTTATTATGAAACAATTCGTCAAGGAAGGACTGCCACCTTACCTACTTCTACCGCCAAGCAATTAAAGGGGCTGGTGAACTTATGTCTCTGGGTGACGTTAGAAGTGGCAGTGCTACTCTATTATTTGCGACTTAAAGCTCTGAGTGGCACTGCAACTGCTATGGACGCTATGGACAGGCATCTCGCTTATCACCAAGCGTACAACTTGTTTGTCCCGTCTCTGGGTATCATAAAAAAAACTGAGCAACCGATCGGGGAGGAGAACTAAATTCATTACTCACCACACCCGAAACCGGTGTATAAACTTCACTGGCTGCCTTGACGCTCTCGAGGGCTGCACAGTCATCACCTGCTGCAACCTGCTTACCAACGTCAGGTAGTTGGGCAAACACCACTTCTCCCAACGCATCCTAAAAATAGATAATATAATGGCGTATTATTATCCCGAAGCCTAATTGCATTGTCGACATGATCAATCGTATCCACGTCATGAAGTGAATTTCGTTTACGCGCAGACTAACAACAAAAAGTAGTTTTCAAAGTCAAAATACAAGAATATTTTAAGCACTTTTTAAATATAGTTACAATTTATGTAATTGTTTAATAAGCAACGACATTATCTACCGATTATTTGGAGTTATTATAAATGCTCACAGTGTATAATATTTTGATAGAGGTCGTTAAATAGGTCATTAGGTAACTTTACCCACTTAATTACTAATGAGGTGTTGCATACTGATGTAGTAAAGCGAACATAAATACACACGTCAAGTGTTTATAGATCAAGGTATTCCTTTTAATATTTGTTTACTCTATTAAAATTAAGTAAAAATAGATATTTTACTTAATTTTAATAGGGTAAACATACTATAACGTCGCATTAGAGAGAGAACCTCGCATGTGCGATTTCACATGAGTTGTTCGTTTTTACTGATGTTTGTTGAAGAAAATCATATAAACTACTGGCTAAGGTATATTATTAAAGTAATATAGTAATATAGTATTGTTTACAAGTAATTCTTTGTTAAGTATGTTTACATTTAGTTAATATATAATTGTTAATTTGTAAAGCCTAGACGGTGAACACCGGTGTGTACGGACAAACCTAAATTGGTTTTTGCTACACCGTTAAAGTTAAGTTTTTATTTGTATTTACTTTTAATTAATAATAAATAAAATAAATAAATAAATCTGAACTCTTTCAGTGTATATTCAGTATAATTTAAGTAATTAAAATGCTAACTACAAACATTAGAATTATAAACAATCTTATCTTCGTCCTGAATAATTACATAGAAATCTCATACGACGTATTTACTATAAGACGACTCAATTAAGTTTATTATATTATATTATTATTTATTAATTATATTATCAAATTTTCCAAAAAACCAATGGTGTTAAAGAAAAATTAATTATAAAACCTGTATTTCAGTAATTGGTAAAAACGTGCTTGATCTCTTAGACACTTTTGATGAGTGTATAATCTAAATAGGTATTGTACTAGTTAGTTAATTACAATTCATTGCATGTTGCCTAAAAAGTTGCAAAATAAACTTTTAAGTTTTTGTTGTACAGTCTGACACTTTTTACATCAGGCACACGACTTGTTCGTCCCGTTACTTAATGTCATAAAAAAAAAAAAAAAAAAAAAAAACATCAGTAGGCCTGACTCTATACGAAGTGCAGAGACATGGACACAGAGAGCCGCCGACAGGCAAAGAATTGACGCCTTTGAAATGTGGTGCTGTCGCAGAATGTTAAGAATACCGTAGACGGCGAGCTGCACCAATGTCTCTGTACTTGAGAAACTCCAGATAAAGAATGCACAGCATCTGCCTTCAACTTGCATACGGCGTGTGATACGCTATTTTGGTCACGTAACACGTAGAGATGCTAATAACCTGGACGTTTGATGGTGACAGGGAATGTGGAGGGAAAGCGACCTAGGGGCAGGAGTGAGTCCTAAAAGGTGGTCGGATAATCCAATCTCCGTACTACATCATGCGACTGAGCGCAACCGATGCAGGCAAATGGTTGGCAGGATGAAGTGGAGTCACGATCCTCAGCAGAGAGGAAGCGATTAAGAAGAATGCCTAGCACGACAAGACGCGACTTGCGCGGGAGCGACTAAGTGATATGTCGTGCTAGCCCTACAGTATTTGTTAGTAATGTAGTAATAAGTTCCGAGTTTTGCATCGGACTGGTATTTACGATAGCGCTTTCTTTTGTTACCGTACAGAGTTATCACTTTTACTCTTTATTCATTTAAGGGCTTTGAACGTTGTTGAACATGTCAGCCCCATTAGAAAAACAATACCTCGAGAAAACACTTAATAAAATCCAAACAGATAAATGAATATACTACCTAACTAAATATGTATACAAAACCTCCGCGGCAGTGCGATCTATTTAAAAATTTTAAATTTTGTGCGAAAATAAAATTGAAGAATGATTAAAAGCCTTCTAACAAAAGTTATTCGTTATCATGTTAGTAATAAGGGCCTGCGAGGGTGTTAATATTTTACAAATAACATTGAATGTTGCATATATGTCGAGATTACCGAAATGTATATTAATAATGTTACAAACGCTGCAATTCCTGCATATACCTATAGTATTCATTGTTCTCGAAAACTGATAATATTTAATGTACAGTACAAGTTGTGCACCGAATTTCAACCATACTTATTACAGGTACCAAAACCTACTTGTGCGTAGTTCGATATGCCAATGGTACCAATGTCGTTGCTCACAGACACCCACTCGTGTTTCTTGGTGTACAAACGAACTGGAAAATAGAAAATAATGATGTTATTTAATAATAATTTTAATTTGAAATCCTGACTACCTATTTAGTTAGTTACGGAGCTCAAGGGAATAGTTCAAAAATGATTAGTACTTAATTAGGTAACATTCTAAGTGACCCTGAGATATAAGTTGACAAGTCCCTTAAGCCTATAATTACCACCCTTACCCTTCTAAATCGCAACGAAATAATGTACACATTACTGCTTGGTGGCAGAAATAGGTAAGATGGCAGTATTTCTCTAGACGAAAACTTTCACTAGGAGCTCTGCTGTTATTTTTCAACGTATACGTGACAAACTCAGTATCTTTACTTTTTAATTTTATTTCAATTATGAATAAACCTTATGCATGCCTAAAATTACAATAACTCTACGTTTTCGTAAAACTGTTACTATACAACGTTATTTCTTTGTAATCTACATAAATAGTACTATTTCAATTGACTTATCGGATCTTATATAATTAACTCAGTCCAACTAAGTAAAGCGCAAGTTGCACAAAAGATAGTTTCTTACCGAAACAAGGAGACAAACATATAGCGTCTTATGAAAATTACGTCTTAAGAAGAACATAGAAAATTGCGCTGTTTTCAACCTTCAAAAAAGGAGGTTCCCAATTCGAATATTTTATGTTTTTATGGGTACGTTACGCGATCACTCCCACATTTCCGAACCGAATTCAATGATTCTGTTTTGTTGATAAGGGAGTATCTCAGTAGTCCCATTAGAGAAAATATTCTATCATCAAGAGTGGCAAATTGGGGAATAAATCTCGTTCATTGAATTTCACCCATTTTCTGTTAACCGATTTAAATGTTGGGCACGTAGGTAGGTGTAATTCCAAAGAAAATAAAATGTAACAATGACTTCGAGCAGATTTTTTTATAATACCAAGTAACAGGTCAAACATGTCGTGCGTGTGGTGGTAAGCGACACGCCTGTCTATAACAGTTGCAGTGTCACTCAAAGGTTTAAATCGCAAAGACCTACTGCGCCCATTACCCTGAGACATAAGTTGACAAATCCCATGTGTCTGTATTTGTAATTTCACCAGCACCTTTACCTTTCTAAGCCGGCGGCAGAAATAGGTAAGGTGGCAGTATTTCTCTGAACGAAGTCTGTCACAAGGAGCTCTGCTGCTACTTTGAAGATGGAAATTGCAACGGATGAGACTCCTCAACGGTGTGCAGCAGCACCTTATATTTGGGGTCATAAGATTCGTTTTAATCATACAATTGAAACGAAGATGGTAATCTTCGTTTCAATTGTGTTCGTTTCAGTCGTTGAAGAGACTGCGCCAGTGAACACAGCGAATACGGATAGGTAAAGTATTGAGGTAGGTTTTTTTTTATTATATTTATCTAAAAAATGCTTTGAGAAATGCAATCTCACTCTTACGTGCGACTTTTTTTATAACTAGGTACAGTTGGAAATACGAGCACTTTAAGAAACATACATTTCTATTGAAAGTAGACCTTTTTCTATTAATAATACACTATACTTGGTAAAATGTATATCCAGTAATCGTACTATGTAAAATAAATTATGCTTTATTGGTAGCAGCATATTGAGTATTATTAATATAAATGAGCCCATACGTCTTTAAAAACCTTGAATTGTGTACTTTAATGATAAAGCAACTATATCTGTCGCCTCACATAAAAACACATAATTCTACTTTGGTCTTGATAAAGCTAGTTAGATATTAATATTGCTAGTACCTACCTTACAACAGTGATTAAATTGTATATCGTAAAAGTAAGGGTCAAGGATTTGTCACTTTTTCTAACATAACATTCATGTTATAACTGGCTCTATAAAGTTATAAAGTATACAGAGTGCTTTATCGCACCATTAAATGCTTTTTATTCTTCTCCTGACCTTTTCAAAGTCATTTAATGATAAACTTGGGAGTATTAACGAAATTTTACATTAGCACTTTTGCCTTTTCACCCTTTATATGTATAGAGATTTCACTTAACAGTAAATAATTTTTAAGCAGAAGTAGTTTTAATTTAGTAGCAGTAGAGCTCCTTGTGAAAGAATTTGTCAAGGGAAGCACTGCTAACTTATGTATTTTTGCCGCCAAGCAGTACTAAGAGCATTACTCCGTTCCGGTTCTGAAAAGTAAGGATGCTGGTGAAATTACAGGCATATGAGACTTGTCAAGTTATGTCTCAAGGCGACGAACACAGAGGGTGTGGTACCCGTCAGATCTTTGCGATTTAAATCTCTGAGTGACATTGCAAGTGTTAAAAGAAAGAAAAATATTAATGATAGAACTTTCATGTTATATACAAGGGAATTAGTTGACGAGTCACTGTTACTCAAATTATTTTACACAGTACAGTCGAATATGCAAAATTTTCCTGCCCGTGTACACGGGCATGGAAGGCAATCATTTTCGTAACAGCACTGTTACGAAAACGATTGCTTTCCATTCCGGAGGTTGTTATTCTTTAGAGTCGAGTCTTATGGATTCAAGTGAAGTTTAAATTTGTTTTCACGGTAAAAGAAAACCTTTGTTTTTATGTTAATTGAGAGGTAAACGGGCAGATGAGCCACTTGATGGAAAGTGGCCAACGTCGCACACGGATATCTGCAACATCAGAGGAACTGCCTACGCCTCGCCAACCTTTGGGAGCCCTGTTGCCATGCTTTTTGAAGAACCTCATGTTGTCGCGTAAAGTAAATATTTTAGGAAGGAGACCATTCCATGTCCTGGATTGCAAGTTCGAGGCGGGAACAAGAGCGGTGCCCGCGTGGTCAATGCGAGGTTGGGCTCTACTCCTTTGGCGTAAGTGTGATAGTGAAAACGTGACGGTGGCACCGGTTCGAAAAGTTCCCCTGAGCACTCCCCGTTATAAAGACGGTAAAACACACACAGAGCTCCCACGTGTCTCCGTAGACTAAAGGATACCAAACCGTCAGTGAGTTCGATACACCATGAAAAAATTTGTATATATATATCGGAGACGTACACAAACTCTTCGAAGATGTGTAGTATCTACTCCCTTTTGGACCAGTGTGACGAACTATGTAAACTACTATTAATCATAAATAGTACATTATTTCTAATACTTATTGTAATGAGTAATGGGAAAATGCGGATTTACGTAATGTCGCTTCCCTTCTTCTAATTATGAAAAGAGTGCCACCATTTTCCGTCTACTTTGAGTAATAACATTTTGTTACATACTCCTAAATAAATTTTCCTATATTAGGTTACTTCAAAACAGTTAAAAATACCGACTTATATTAAGTAAATAAAACGCTGCTCATTGAAAGCTTTTCTATTTTAATAGTAAATCCAAGAGTCTTGCCAAAAAAGTAAAAGGTTAGATGATAAAATAGGCGCATGAATATTCCTATTTATTAAAGTTGTGTCTCTACAGACTTACTGTTGTGGTGCGAAGGTTAAACGAAAAGCTTTTGATGATTTTTGCCGCCAAGCAGTAATGTGAGCATTATACTATGTTTCTGTTTGAAAGGGTAAGGGTACTGGGTGGTCTGGTGATTACAGGCGCACGGCACTTATCAACTTGTGTTTTAGGGTAACAGGCGCAGTAGCAGTGCCCTTCAGATCTTTGTTATTTAAAGCTATTGCCATCAGGCGCACGACTTGTGCGTCCCTTCACTTAGTATCGTAAAAAAATCTACTATATGAACTGCGCCTTCGATAATTGACTGTAGGTGAGTACCTACAGTCAATTATCGAAGTGTAGTAAGTGGATAAATAAATTCGCTAGTGCATATATTACAGTTATGTAACTTATAATTTAAACATACAGTGCTTTAACTTAATCTTCTCAAATGTCGTTGTAAAGTTACCTTAATAGCATTTAACATGGGTTGCATCTACGCGTTCCCCTACTCTGTATACCTCAATTTGAACTTCCATGATATTAACCCGTCCAAGAAATATGTCAACGCGTCATTCAGCCTTTTACAGTGTAAATCAAAAAACGACCAATTAAAAAACTTACCTTTGCTGTCTGTGCTGTAGGCGGCCCTTCGACAGCACTGTGATAAGGCACACGAATTGCTAATTCTCGCAGCGACACGAATGACGTTTAAAACCATTTTCTGAAATAATTTTGCAATAGATTTTAGTTTATTCGATATCTCTTTTTACGTCGATAGTGTTAGTACGAGATATAATTATACGTATATATATTAACGTATATACTTAGTTAACATGTATACTAAGTTATATGTATGTATAAATCCAAATTATCTTCTTTTATACCCTTATAATTTTTTAATATTTTATCATATATTGTAGCCATTGACTGGTGTGACCACGTGACGTTCTTTAAGTATAGCGGCACGTGTTTTATAAGTTTAAATAAATAAATATAGAGAAATAATATATCAATAAACATATACCACTAAACCCATTAAATAATGTTATTAAGTAATAAAAAACAAAAATAATAATAAAATTACCTTAATCTAAGATGGAACATGAAGAAAACCACGCGTTCGAGTGACACACGATTACTGATAGTTCTTAATAATTAAGAGACGTGTATACGTCGGCTGCGGAGATGGAGTAGTGATGTAAGAGATACACGAAATTCATTTGGCCTTTTTATCATTATTTAAACCACGTGGTAAAGAATTGTAGTTGATTATAAATCGATATGGTCTATCTATTTTGTTGAATGTTTGTTGTGTACTAAAAAAATGTGCCTGTTTTGTGTAAATGTAGAAGTTAGATGAAGAAGTTCGTGATATCGTTACTTGTTGTTGATTAACATACATATACATATAGAAATTGTCGACTAAATGTATTTTAATAAAATCAATTCCATTACTTAAACCTAAAGTGACCCAAAAGGTACAATAGAGGCATCTAAAACGTTCGTTGTTGTCGGCATTGTGTCCTTCTTTGGCTAAGCTTTGTAGTTATCGTGGACAAATAATATTACAAGTTAATGACAGTGTACTATACTAAGTGCCATTTACTATGTCAATAGCGATCATTAACCCCTTCCTACCACTGTATACGTTATTTGTCAAAACGATACTCTCCAATATTCCCAGTACAACGCGCGAAAGTGTTATATAACATTAGCGTGTCGTGCTAAAACTCTTCCTTGAAGCATAAGGTGATCGCGGCCGTTGTAAATTTTTAACTAGTTTATTAGTAATTCTGCATATTATTAAATATTTTGTCTTTCAATTTTCAAAGAATATTATGTCAAAAAGTATATAAATACTAAGCAAAACCGTCACTTTTATAAACCAATCCGAGTTGCCAAATCAAAAAAAAGTGGTATCATTTCTGGCAAGATATAAAAGCATAGCAAATTTATAAAAACAAATAATTACCAAAATTAATAAAACCATGGAGCAATAACTAACTAACAAGGTCAAAATTCCGTCTTATATGTATACATATTATATCTATTGCGCTGATCGATAGCCTGGAAGTAGTTTATATTATGCATTAGAGAAATATGCCAATAGTCAATAATTGTGTGTTAATAACTAATTTATAAATTAACGCTTCCTAATATGGGTAGATGGCGCTAATCCTAAACAAAATAAAAGAATAGCCGAGACTGACCATCAATCTGTGCAATAAGCGCCGGCTAGTTGTACTCGTCGCCAGTACTCGTGTCGACATCTGGTGTAGCATTGGATACTAAATACTCGACTACGCTGTCTTGCTGTGCTGCATGATTAGTAGCCCTCTTGAGTTGGTCCATGAGAAAACGAATTAATAAAACAATAGCAAAGTCAAGATGTGAATGTTTTCGAAACGCTACTGGCAAATGGCAAATGGCAAAAAGGTCACATGCTTCCAGCGTGAAAAGGAGATAAAAATAATCGGGGATAAATTAAAATTTGTCTTTTTAGAGGACCATAGCTTTAATGAATTTTAAATGAAAATTGATTTATTATGTGTTTTTAAAATTATGAAGTTCAAAAGTATTCAGTATCATATTTATTACGCATTGAGTTTTAAATATTAGTTTTAATGTGAAGTAAGTTTTACGTATAATGTTACTCATGCGATTTCAAATTGCAGCTGATTTTCATGGATCGACGATCGGTAGCTGTCGAATTGTGAAGTTCGGGATGAAAGTCAATGGCAACAATTAGCATGCTAAATAGCACAAACTGTAGATGGTTGCGCAAACTGAATTTTTAGGTAGGCAGAGTGGAAGAATAAAGTGAATTCAGACGACTAAATCTCGAGTTCAAGCTCACTTCATATTATAAGAAGACACATAAAGATTGTGGAAAAGCCTACAATAATAAAAAAATTAACTTTACCGATGTCGATTGGAAAGGCTTCGATATCGACATTAGGACAACGCGACCTATATAATTAAACCCAATAACATTTATCTCGTGTCGAACTGATAGCTTATCAAAATGACAGTCCACTGGGGGTCGCAGGCAATATCACTGACTTAAAGAGAAGATCATTATATTGTCCACTTTTGAAAGTAATTCTCAATTAAAAGATCTGTTTATAACCTTGCTTAACTAACCGAGAGCCTCAGGAAAACAAAAGTTTTTCAATTTCGAGCAACTGTATAACATTCCTTTCTTTACTGTAGTAGCAATAGACAATTTCATTGATGGTACAGAGACTTTTTTTGCTATTGTCCCATTAGTGGTGCCGTGGAATTTTTTTTTTTTGCTCTCGTTCCATTGAATGTACTACGTCGAAACAAGTTTTCCCTAGTGCCATTACAACTATAAATATACCTAGTACATTAATAAAGGGTTTTTCAACAACAACTTTGTTTTGTAAATCAAAATAAAACAATAAATTTAGATGACAATGATTAAATTTTTTATTGTATTAAAAAAGTAAGGTTTGGCAATTATATATAATTATATAGACTTGTAAAGAGCATGGTTGCAGCAGTCCATTGTTTGAAACTTAAAGCCGGTATATCAATCCAGCATAACCCTGTGAAATGAAACGTAAAGAATGTCACAAAATTTCTATAAATTTTGTGTCCTTTGTATATGAGTAAATTCTTTAGGTGTAATCATAATTATGAATTCTGCTATTTGATCCTACATTCTAATATTTATTTATTATTTTATGGTACTTATTAATTTTCGAGTTACGGTGCTATTTATTTGATGCATAACATTTCTCGAGTTATATTCGCCTTTGGAAGTCATAGCCCTTCCTCGCCTTAAGTGTTGTTATTTATTGTAAAGCGTAATATGTACACGTCGTAGATGTTTTAAATTTCATCAGAAATCTACAAAAAAAGACGTAAATAGTTAATAACTTTATTGCATAGTAAATAACGCAAGTATACAAAAAAAATGTAGCAAAGTATGCATGTATGGCAATTCATGGCTTTTACAATGTCTAAAAAATATTTAGTTCCTAAATATCTTATTATATGTATTACATTACGTATATCAGTTGATAAGTTTCTGTGGTACGCACCAAGCGCCTAGAACACAACTTCTTATATTTTATAGCTTAATCGTATAAAGGATATCAAATACAATGGTTTATTATAGCATATACTGATGCCAGAACAAGGCTGTGGTCACTTGAAATTACTTCAATAATAGCATATAGCAACATTCTAGGTGCTTAATACAGAGTCGAGAGCCAAGCTTGACAAAATATTATATTATAAAACATAAATTTAACTCTATGCGACTGGCAATGAGAAAACCTTAGAGGATGGAAAGGAGAAAACTTTTCAAAATGTCAATCTTGATAATATCCTTGATGGTATGTACGTTCTATTAAGCTTAATGCATCCTCAATAATAGTGGAAAAAATCATAAAGACAAAGTTATGTTTTTTGTTTACTTAACCAAAAAAATTACAAAGAATTACAATAAATAAAATAAAAAGTCGCATTTGACACAAGCCAAATTACATTAAGGTTAATGCAATTAAGAACAGAATTGAGATGACATACATATTTGTCTGATACCGTGTAGGAATGTTATTTTTAACAATTCTTAAACTTTCTTATTATACTTACAAATGAATAAAGATTGTTTGAGTTGAGTATATGAAATTATATAAGTCCAGCTGCATTTCTCCTAACGGCTATGAAGTTCATAAATAGCTGGTAAAATGATAAATACTCAATGGAGTAAAAAAAATTAAAAGGTATTCAAACAAAACACATCTACTCATTTTTGGTACGATTATTGAGCACGACTCTTTATAAAGTTTAGGTCATTAGTGTCCAACCCACAGAGATATATCTAGATATATGTCTGTGGTCCAACCGGTAGATCACGAGCGCCTGGCAGCTCGAGATTTATATTTTAGGCGTGTACATACAATCGGACAAAAAATTATTAAGTAGCAAATTGCAAAGTTCACGCTAATTCACACTCCGTTACTACCATGATTAAGTCGGTAAACCGTATATACAGAGGATCAGACATGGGCAAGCACCCAGGTTTTGACCTGAGACGCTTTGTTAATGCCGGGTTTAAATTAGGTTAAAACCTACGCTTGAAAACGTGACTACATATTGGTCTTTGTATAGTTTTTATTCAAATTTAATGATATTATCGATGAGATAGAGTATCTGGGTAATTTGCAGATTCGTTTCTTTACCTAATTTCGCTGGCAATTGCCATTATTTTATGTTATTCAATAATTGTCGTCATGAAGTATTAGTTAATATTCGGCTGTAGTAACCTGAAATATTATTTAAGATTTCACGATAATGTACTTGAATACTTGAATTATAAAAAAATCCAACGAAATTAGGTAGAGAAACCTAACCTGAAAGTTATCCATCTATTACCATATAGATTACGGTGCTGCTATTGTTTTTTTTACTAAAGGCAAGGATTTGAACACATTTTTGTACATTGAACTAATCTGTAATGGTGAATACAAAAATGAAAAGTGCAGTCTATCGCAAATAGCAAGGCGTGGTTTGAGCTGTGCTAAATATTGCATTGATAGCCGCTACTGTAGCGAAGGTTCCGCCGATTGCGCCCACTGCGATCACCTCCCAGCATACAACTTTGATCCAGCCTGGTACCTCTCTGCAAAAAAGTTTGTGTTAATAAAATACGTCACATTTGTACAGAGTTCCCTTCAACGAGATTTACAGGTGCAAATTAAATAGGGGCCCCTGTGCGAATGAACGCCAAATAATCGGTATTAACGCGTAATACAAGATTGTATATAATAAGTACACATCGATGACTTTCTAGACTGGCGACTTATCACAAAAATCATCTATTTTATCATCTAGATGATTTAAAAACTGCTGCGAAATATGTAAATACAAAGTCGACGAATCGTATACAGCACAGTTTCCCAAAGTGGCCTTTACCACTCCCAGTGGGCGCTGAAGAGTCCTAGGGCAGGGGCCTTTAGGGTAGGGGCCAACAGAATAGTCATACTTAGGGCCAAATTTTAGTAGCAGTAGAGTTCCTTGTGAAACAGTTCCTCCAGGGAACTTCTGCCACCTGACCTATTTCTGCCGCCAAGCAGTAATGTCAGCATCACTGTGGCATTACTATGTTCCGGTTTTGGAGGGTAAGGATGCTGGTGAAATTCTGTAATTTCACCAGCATCCTTACCCTCCAAAACCGATGTCCCTGTGCACATGAGACTTGTCAACTTATGTCAAAGGGTGACGGGCGTAGTGGCAATGCCCCTCAGATCTTTGCAACTTAAAGCTCTGAGTGGCACTGCAATTGTCGTGGACAGACGTGTAGCTTACCACCAAGCGGACGACTTGTTCATCCCTTCACTTGATATTTTGAAAAAATGTCTATAAACTAATGCTGTTGCCTCAATACTGTTCTCTATGTGTTTGTTGCGGATCTGATATACTTACATTGCAGCCCTTCCCTCACTCGGCTGAATAAGCTTCAAATAGCAATAGGAGGGTAGTACAAAGGTGAGCAGAGCCACAGTAGAGCCTCCAATGAGAGCCAGAATAGTGTAGAATCGGGGGACGCTCTCGCCGATGAACAAAATTCCCGCCATTATGCAACCACGTACTCCCATACGCCATGCGATCGAGTCTGAAATCAATATTGATAACTTTGTCAAAAGCAACAAATAATTTTTAGATACTTTTTATTCCAATACACGTAATGCAATTTGTGTAGTGATCACAGAGGATTATTGTCTCTCGTGCAACTGCATTTAAAATAACAATTATCGTGATTGTGTGTTAAAATTTTTGGTAGGCTATTTTTCATGCAGTTTTTTTTCCTATATTGTTTTGTTTTTACTATTCTAATTTGATATTTTTTTATTATTGCTGTAAATTACATAGATATTTCTATTTAGTTTCTTGAACACGACGTATTTTTCAATTAATGAACTAACCTCTAGGCACGTCGTAAAGTTCCTCGATCTCCTGACAAACGGGGTTGACAAGAATGATGAAGGCAGATACGAGATGTATCACCATCAAGATGTTACCAGCGAGGGTGACTGGAGTTGGTGAGAGGGAAGCGGAAACGTTCGGTGCAACAGATTCCCCGTATACAGCGTAGCCTCCGATCGCAATGGGAAGGTATAGGCCTAGTATAGCTGAAAACATTATGAGACAGTCTTTACTTAAATAATTATATGCTATGTGATATGTATTTACGTTGAAATCTAATATCTCAGAATACCTACTGAATTAAAACTTAAATAAACAGCGTGTTCTTGACAATCGTCTTCACAAAGTGACAAATTCATTTAAGCAGTTACGTATATGCTTCCATAGTAAAATTCCGGATGTTATTCAAAATTTGTCATTTACGAGGCTTAAAACTATTGTGATACTAAGACTTAACACTAAGAGTGGTTACAAGCTGCGATTTTTAGCAGTGATGCAAATGCATCTTTTGTAAAACGCACGATTTCATGCTGCATGATGCAAACGCGCGACTGCATCCATATAATCGCGCATTTATATCGATACAGTAGCGCATTTGCATAGCGTTTGAATCGCTGCTTAAAGTTGTGTGTGTATATAAAGGTAGACGATTAGCGACTTTATCGCTACAGCATCGCTGCTAAAAATCGCTGTATGTAACCACTCTAAAGGTTATTTTACCGCGTCTGCGTACTTGGATGACAAAAATCCGTGGTAGTGACCCACTTAGCTCTTGTAGATTTTGTACATGATAAATGTATACAAATGTTCGTTTACAAAGAGTATCCCCTAGAGTTTCTTACTCATTCTTCTCTTCTTTCTCAGGCGAATCTGTCTTACAAATGAGTAATCAAAGTAACGATTTTAAGCGCAATTTGTTTAGTTTACCTATTAAATAAATATATATTTCAGTTTGGGTTTGAGCCCACCGTTATCCAATTCGTGCAACTAATAAATAAGAACTAACCCTTCGAACTTTAACATATAATGCATTGAAGTAGAAAATCTACTCTTTAACTATTATAATCAGCGTCAATATGGTCTGAACGGTGAAACTAACCAAAAGTATATACGTTCAGATTACTTACTTAAAATATTATTAACAGTGTAATTGACAAAAACAACCTCAGGAATAAAGGTGCACTTAAGTAAGTAAATACTGAAACCAATCAAATTCCACATTAGGTTGTTGTTGTTTTTTTAAACTCTTTCCATTAAAGAAAAAGCAAAGGTGTGCCATACAGTCTAGTAGCAGAGAGCTCCTTGTGAAAGAATTTGTTCTGGGAAGTACTGCCAGTTTACCCATTTCTGCCATCAAGCTGCTACTGCGTTTAGAAGGGTAAGTGAAATTAGAGGCACATAGGACTTCTCAACTTATGTCTCAGGTTGACGGGCGTTGTTGTTATTCTTTACCGAAAAACTCATGGTAAACTTCTAAATAAATTTCGCACATAAATTCCGAAACTCAGACAATTTGGCTCCCACGGCTTATACTTTAAACTAGCAAAAGAAAAAGTTACAGAATCTTGTTTTTTACAGTACTAAGTGACGGGACGAATACAACGTGCTGGTGGCAAGTGACACACCTATCCATAACAGTTGCAGTGACAGAGCTTTAAATAGCAAAGATCTGATGGGACTGCCACTGCACCCGTTACATTGAGACAGAAATTCAAAAGTCCTATATGCTGTAATTTCACCAGCACCCTTGCCCTTCAAAACCGAAACGAAATATTGTGTGTGTTATTTTAAACGGATGGAGAGTGGTACAATTAGCTGCATGAAAAAAAATCAACACTGCCATAGCTATTTTGCATAATTTAACCCTCACTATTCTGTAACTCTATTCGTTTGTTTTAATCTTGTACACACCTGTGAAGCTGTATTGCAGCACTTTACTAAACTTGCTCTTATCGGCCATGTCGTTTTGGATAGTAGGAAAGGTAGATGCCCCCCCGAATGCAAACATCATCGTGCCAAACGACAGGAAGAACTGTTGGAAATTGTGAAGACCCCAACGAAATACACCGAAAGGCTTGATGTCAAATAACATTTGGATGAAATACAAGATGCAAGCGACTACTACCGATCCGAAGGCAATGACACCCAAAAATCTGCAAAAAAGAAAACACATTTTAAAATTATTTGTAATAGTATTATTGTTTTACTGGTCACTAAATTCGTTTTACATTATTTCGCCTAAAATATATTTCTTCAGTTGGCTTGCTTATTATATGTATTAGTTGTTAGTCTCTCTATTATAAATGAAAAAGAAATAATAAACATTGTTTGACAAAGTAACTCTGAATGGATTTTGAGTAAGCAAAAATAGTCAGCTAACCAACGTCTCCGTATTTGCAAAACCAACTTAGCCAAAGTTTGAGTACCTACCTATACATAATAAGACAAGTCTAGTAACTCCATACAAACGTAGCATAATATCGCGGTGTAGTACGTGCCTACTCACGTTGCATAGCGAAAGTCGAAATTTAATTTATAAATATGAAAAACTTGCTTAGCCCGCCATTTTTGCTTAACTGAATTCAAAGGTAGTTTCATAAATCTCACCGTTAATCATACTTTAATTTTGATGTCTACGTCCAGACAGAAATGATTATACTTACGAGAAATCTTTAGGAGTTCCAAACAGTAGCAATGGCGTCATAGCGCCAGCCACAATGAGATACCACCAGCAGATTGAGAGCGTGGGTATGAGCGTGAGAAACACTTGTTCGATGATCTGCGCCGCGAGCAGAAGGTACACCACAGATGCACCAAACTGGGTCACTATCATCGCCATTGATGCTACAACGCTGAACATATAAGGTCCAGTTGTAATTTATGTACATTTAGGTGTTAATACCTATATAAGTGTCTAAAAGATAAAAACCGCATTGGGTTATTTGTAAAATGTTAACAACGTCACAGGACTATATTACTAACATAATAAGTTGTTTATGCTCCATGACTTTCTACAAAACATAATAAATTTACCAAAAGTAAACTTTTCAATATTTGTTGTACTATCTGACACTCTTCAGGTCTGTAAGTTCAAACACGCAAGCGTCCTCTCGACTACCCCACCCCAGCTCCTGAATGTTGAATTCGGCTAGCATTTACGCTAGCGCTTTCTATTGTTATTGCACAGAGTTATCACCGTTTAGAGCGATCTATTTCAATATTTTTGTACCAAAGTAAAATCTGATGAATTTTTAAAAGTCATTGAACGAAAGTTGTTGTTTATGATGTTAGTAATATTATCCCGAGAGGTTGTTAGAAAGTATTTTATAAATGACCCTGTATTCTCGTACATACCTAAATAAGTACATATGATAGTCGTATAGAAAATTTATGTCATAAAAAGGATTTTTGGCACTATTTTTATGCTGTTAAGTGCAAGTAACAATTCAGTTTCTTGTCTAATATCAACAAACTTTTTACGTGCGACTTAAAGCTTCCAAAATAAAACATGCCTTTAGTACACATACCTCCAGGTCTTTCCCAGCGCTTGATCGGCAATGATAGCATAAGGGTTCCTCTTTCTACTCCTCATTTGAGGATCGCGTTCCTCAAGGATGGACCAGCAGTCTCCTAGTCGTTTGCCGCTGAATGCAGCAATCACGCCCATCAATATAAGTAGAGGGACGCCTACCCACCCTGTAATTTTCGAACAAATACACTAAATTACATACATATCTATAGATGATCTTAAGAATTCGGTGTTATCAACCTGAGTGATATAACCATCTCATATGCCTAAAAGCGATAAGCTTACTATTAAAATACCACTAAGAGCGGTTAGGGTAAGGTAACGCAACCTTTCGTCGTCGTACCGCCTAAGAAAAACCGCTGTAATATTTAAGGTTATTTAAATTAAACAAAATCTTTAGCGTCTACGGGATCTTTATTTACTATCAATGTGTTTTAATGAAAATACGAAAAATGTTTAATGAATTAGGTATTGACAAGTTTTTCAAAAAAGCGCTTATAACCTAAGTCGTACTTAGAATAACATTTCAGTCAGGACGTCATAAACTGTATAGTACAGCACTAATAAAAAGAGATCATAATAACAATTAGCATCTAGAAACAGGTACTAAGGTGATTAAAATCAAACATTTCTTAATATTTTTGAAGGGAGTCAGAGAACACAGAAAACAAAATTTTTAAACTCTTAGGATCAACTCACACTGGCGCAGAGTCGAAGCGTCGTGAGTTCATCCTTAGGAAATATATTATAAATTGTGATGAAATAAAATTATAAATTGTAATAAAATAAAAGTATAAATTGTAATGACTTAATAATTATAAGTAAGTTTTTCTGAAATAAAATTATAAATTTTAATTAAATAAAATTAAAATTCTCCCGAAATTAACTTACAAATTCTAATGTAATAAAATCATACATGCTTCGGTAATGAAATAAAATCATATTATATAATAAAGGCATTACAAAATTAGTTTTGTAGAACACAAATATCACACATATATTATTTAGCTGAGAAAAACTAAGAAATAATTTTCATAAACGCCTAAGTCGTACCGGTACGATTAAGGAATTTTCCACGGGTACGGGGACACTCTTAAAGTTTCAAATCGAACATTACTGTTATAACATAAAAAATCGGTCGTTTGCTTGTGCTTAAATAAATGCTAAAATACATACGTCAAAAATCGACGAATACCCAAAAAAAATTGGTTTTCACTTCTCATGCTCTTAAAATTAGTATTTATGCCGAGTGCAGGCTGCATAAAATAGGATTTATGCTCTAATGCATAAAAAAGGACTTTATGCTCTATTGCATAAAATAAAAAACTATCACATTAAATATGTCTGATTGTTGTAATTTTACATTCAATTTTAATTAAATAATCGTTTATTTGTAATATTGCTGTTTCATTTCGTCGCAATCGAAGTGAACAGCAAAGTGTATAAGTGAGAATGGCGAGGCAAAAGAATTAAGCAACGATTCAAAATTTGAAAACAAGTGGCCAGGAATCAGAGAAAAGGTAATAAACAGGTGGAATGACGATGGAGGGAGGTTACATCGTCATAAGACATATTAAACATGTATCTTTTTTCTACAAACACATGATTATCTCTAGGTACAAAAATTACGTGCATGTAGCCCGTCTTTAAGTAATACGTTTATTAGAACCAGTTTAATAGATATAGGAGCTTACTTATTGGTCAACTAATGAAATTTTAATTATCGGTGCTATATTTTTACATGTAAGAATTATTGTAATTTTCCATTGAGTATTTTCGACACAATTCTGAATAACCAAGTTTATATTACCGCCACCAAGTGTCGCACCAAGTAAAAGCCCCAATGTATTATGGAATTTGGCAACATGCACTCGTTTGCATATTTGTTTTTTTTCGAAATTAGTACAAAATCATATTAATTGATTTTAAAATAAATCATGCATATTCTGATTATAAAATAACTTAACTGTGAAAGGAAATGTCTTTCATCTGGAAGAAAATTTACTCACAGCTATGATGTTTTTGTCGTTTCTAATGGCATAATTCGCGCACATTCTAAATCGTATATAGAAGGGGCAACTAAGCGTTTTTATATTAATGGGCACGCCTAATTAATTAATTCATTGGCTTTTTCAGGTATAATTTATAATTTTTGATATTATTAGTCTTATTTTTTTTCCTTAATGACGTTCACCATGTATCAGGATTATGAAGTCTATTTAAAGTTTTGCCCTCTGCGTTACCAGTTAGGTACACCGAAATTTACGTTTTTTTTTTTCTAAAAACCTATGAAGACAATGGGAAAAATTATAATTTTAGCAGTTAGATTTAAACACGGACAAAGTTGAGCTATTTTTATTAAGTGTTTTATTGAATGTCAGAAAGTTTCACCACCATGATATTCAATTATTTTTTGTGAAATTACTCCACTAGTTATGTTATAATTATTAATGCAAAGATCGAACACTTACAAAAAATTCCTTCATGCCAGCCGGATTCGAACCGACGTCTTCTAGCATACCGTGCCAGATGCTATGCCACCTAAGCCACGGGACACCACTAATTTTTCCATGTATTTGTTTGTCGGATCTTTTGTATTTGGATTTCAACGACTTTTTAGCCGTAGCACCATCTATGTATTTTTATTAATTATAAAATATTAGTCAATTTGTGAAAAGTGTATTGACTCTTATACATAGTTCATGCTATACTATGCTCATTAACTAACTGCCTACGTGGCCGGACGGTTACCATTTTAGTAGCAGTAGAGCTCCTTGTGCAACAGTTCGTCCAGGGAACTTCTGCCACCTTACCTATTTCTGCCGCCAAGCAGTTATTTGAGCATTACTGCGTTCCGGTATCAAAGGGTACCGGAAGAAATATTTGTAGGGCCTACATTTATTCCTCTCGTGAGCTTAGGTGTAATGAGTGGTTGTCAATGTGTGTGTCCATGGCACCCGCGATACAGGGTTTTGCTAGTGCGGAGTTATGAGCTTTAACAAAATGTTTACATTTATCTCATTTGTTGCAACTGGACTGTGGATACTCAAATAAAGGAATAGAATTGTAATAATGATAATAATAATAAATAATCTTTATTTGTCTCAAAACATGTTTTCTTAAATAATAGTGGCTGGAGCCTACTTTTAAGCATAGCCTGTGACGAAAGGGGACGCTCTTTCTTAGCTACACGTTTTATAATATACCTACATGTGTACATAGCCAACCTAATTAAACAAAAAATATGACTACTTCCTTACAATATTATACACCCTTACTATTTTGTTATTGTGTGTGTGTGTGGGTAGGTCTAGCAGTGCCTCAACTTCTTATCATGTTTTCCTCGCGAGCCATTAGGTATAACCTTCTTACATTCATAATACAACTTGCTGTAAATTTTCAATTCCTTATTGAAGAGGTATGTATGCCTTTTTTTTGTATTGAAATTCTAAGACAGTCATGTTATCATGTAAATAGTGACATACAAGATAGCAATCTGTTTGTTACGAGTTTCAGTTAACATTTACGTAGTTGCATTGTAAGTTAAACGCTAGCCCTAACAAACGCAAGTGCCTTTACATTCAAATAAATTAAGTGGCAGCATACCTATTTGATTTATTTAATTTAAGAACATTTAAGATTCGCATTGCTTCATTTAACGCATTGCAATATGTCACGCATGTCATTCACGATGCTGTTTCTTTTACGACATATATCCTTGGATAAGGACAAAGACGCGTGTCAAAAGCGCTTTTATCACATAAAAATAATACGAACTACATAAAACGAATTATATACGCATGTGATGTAAAAGTCATCGACTAATTTCGGTCATCGAATCTTAAAGTCTTTAAAAGATGGCATTTTTCAGATGTGGCCTTATTACCTCAAGAGTGCCATATGAGTCACGACAAAAATAAGAACATTTCAGAGTAACTTTCAAGAACGTCTTTTAAGAACATAGCACGAGATTGTCAAAAATGTATATAAAAGTCGAGATGGTCGAATCCTATAATCACATTGCAATAACTTGCTTTGTGACAGAGCGACAAATAAATTTTCTAAATGTATTAGACTCATCATAAGAGCTACGCTGGCTACACATATAGTACGGTGGCTGTTGATTTTGAATGTCGTCAATTCTGTGATTACGGCTGACTTCAATAACCAATGAGTAAAATAATACGACGAATACAATTAAAAAAAAACATGAGTCTCCCCTAGGAAGCAATTTCGTAATTAATTGAGTGCAATTAAATTTATAAGTTCAGAAAAAAGTTTATAAGTTCAGAAAGTAACATTGACTCTTACAATTTGTTATAAAACAACTTAATACTAACATTAGTAAGGTACAAAATTGTACACAAAAGAAACTGCTGGAAACATGCAATTCACAACAGTGCCTCATGTAAGGACAGTCGAGGCTATCCCCTATAGAGCGCAGCATAGAGTTGGAGCCAGCCCACACCCGGCGCACCCAAAACGTGCTTCGCTACCGCGAGCTCTGTAAAAGCAATCCACTATTGCTTCTGCGAACATCACTGATGCGCTACTGAAGCGGGGCTGCACCACTAGCACCCGGAACAAATAGTATATACTGAATCTGGAGTTATATAGTTTCGAGATAGGTGGACTATTGTTGTTATAAGAAAAATCGATCACAATACTTACCAGTTCTAACCATAGCTCGGGGCAGTGCCAGTACTCCACTCCCGGCCATCTCTCCTGCTATGAGAAGAGCTGTCTGCTTGGCTGATAGACTTCCATTCTCGTCACCCTTCCCTGGTACGTCGCCTCCATTTGCATGCTCCTGCACATTATTGCTACTTATATAATACTTAAAAACTTTTTTCAAAGATATTTAGACGACAAAGCACTGTTCCTGTTTTTTCAGTAATCTATTAAGTATATTTATAGAGCCGCATATACCGTTAATGATAAAATGATATATCATTACTTTTACAACGAACTCACTGTCACACAAAAGAAGTGTAGAACTATTAAAAAAGATAAGAGCTTCGACTAACATGTGTCGCGATGCGTTAAAGTTACATGGGCATAGTATTGTATTTAGAATCGTAATCAGTTCAGCGTCCGGTAAATTCAAAAGAATATAGAGACGAATAGCGTAGATAATAAACAATGTAGCCTCATTACGTTCGCCATAGTCAGGTTAATCATACATGGGTGCTCACAGCGCCATTTTGATTCTCAATTCCATAGGGCCGACATTACAAATGTAAGCAACTAATGCTTTGCTTCGTATTTTTATTTTCACATATTGTTGAGGTTGTATGTTTTCGTTTTGAATAATTACAAAACATTACGGAATTGAGAACTCTTATTTTATACATTAAAGAAATTCAACTCTAAATTAAATTACATTACTCTAAATTACATGTATTTTGTTTGAATTTTTTGTGCATTGTATAAACCCGATCTTAAGTTCACATCGATCAGCTTCATCAGGAACTTATGAAAACAAAGCTTTTTTTAGACTTTTAAGGAGTTCTTAACACGATACGTCGATGATTGAAAAATTTAAAATGTAATTCTACGAGTTAAAAAATTTCCGACTACATATTTTCGACTTGCCAAGGAAACCTGTTTCATACTCATACTAATATATAACCGAAGGTAAACCTTTCTGCTTAAGCTAGGCTCGGGTTTGTCTATAATCACATCTAATGGACAGTCAAGATGTCGTAGAAGTTAACCTTATTGATGTAGGTATGTATCGTTCGAGAAATATAAAACCCCATAAATAATTCTATTCCTTAGCATTATAAACTATGATTACATTTATGTCGAATCTACAGCTAAGTATACGTGCAAAAAATAACTAAACGCACTTCAATGCCTTGAGCTGTTTTTTGTGGCAAGTATTGCGTTGGTTTGTGTAATTTAATATCTTTAATATGTTATATATTCATTACCGAATTGAAATGTTACATGTATTTGTATGATTCTTATTTCTTTACATATTTTGCACTATTTGTGTACATATATTCTAAGTACAACGCACTTATTTATTGTGCGTACTTGTAGTTTAATTATAAAATAATTGAATCAGACCATGGAGCGTTTATTTGTGCTTAAAAGTGGCAAAATTTGTAAACGAATATATAAATAAGAAAACTTACATTTTTGCTTATCAGAGGCGTATTTTCCGTCGCTTGAGCACTAGTAGATCCTTTATCTTCTAGACTGTTCTTAGACATCTCGATTCTAAAGAAAAAAATCGTATATAAATGCTCCGTATTTCCAAAAGCATACGACTCTAATTTAAATATATTTGTATTAATTATTAGCCGCCACAGAAACTTTGTTGTTTTGTCAGTCTAATGGGCTATAAACTGGTACAGAAACAGGTTTTAAAAAAATATTTTATTAGATGAAAAACATTTCGTTAAGTGTGCTTTGACTTGTTAGAAAATATGTGCAAGCCCTAGAAAGGTCGGTAAATTGGGATTAACTGACAACAGTTTCAATTTCCTGTTGGTCAATGTAGTAAATTGAGCCGGTACAATATGGCTTCTTACAAACTTGCGTAGGGAGATACGTGAGTACTTCAGGGACGGCGACCAGAGTCCGAAACGCACACCTATTCACTACGAGGTTCCTCACAAAACTGGCACTTACTACATCGCCTCAGCTGGTTTCGACTTCATTCCGCATAGCTATGTTGACTTAGTTTTCTACAGTATGATGTGGTTCTCTATCAACGCTTGAATGGGCATTATCGTATCAACTAACAGACGTATTTTTAATTATAATACACTGCACATTTTTACTTTCTACACAATAGTTGGTTCAGGTTATGAAACAAAGTAATGCATGCGATTTTGTGCGTGAAGGAGTCAAAATCGAAGACAAAATAATATATAGCTCTTTTGTGTACACAAGTTGTAACAAATTAGTATATATAGGCCTAACACTTGAACGTGTTCAGGGTATCGCAATTTTAAATAGATAAAAATAAATATGCCTCATACGTTTAAAAAAAATTATAATAAAAACAACAAATAATAAAACATTATACATGAATGAAACATTATTTTATTATTCTAATCTTATAATTATAACTCCTCCACCTTCCTCTCCTCTGTTTATCGATATTTCGGGGAAGGGCAATAATTGTCAATTTTATAAAAAAATACTTATTTATGTACATAAATATTTATAAAAAAATTAAAAATATAAATAAAACGTTTACAAATTAGTTGATTTATACTCGTCTTATAAAATTTGTATTTTGGTATTTATGCTCCTCGTCTCTTTTTTACAAAAAAAGTGAGCATTTGACCTCCACCTCACCTAATGGAAAGTGACATATCTATGGCATGTACACCTAAATAATGCATATTCACTCTCGCCCTAAAAAGGCTCAAGTCTCCCGAAGTATCGATGTTTAAAACGATTTCTATTTATCGAAAATTATTGTAACGTGTTATAGCGTCCACTAATTACGCGAGCTTTTAGTTGTTAGTTAATTTCTAAAGGTTTCCTAAAAAAAAGGTTTCCTAAAGGTTTTCTAAAGGTAAAGGTTTGAGCTACCAAGGATTTTTTTTATGTTAATGGCGGATTTTTTTTAGAAAACCGAGAATTGAATTTAGGAAATAAAAAAGAATCTGAAATGAATAACCAGGAAAATTTAAATTGCAATAAATAAATGTAATATATCTCAAAATTACAATTTAATTAAATAATGTAGAGATAAATGTTTATATACAAAGTTTTGGAAGACTGTTCAATATTTTAAGGGTTCAAACTTATTTCATTTGGAATTAGGCGAAACCTATTTATTTCTATGATGCGAGATTTAATTAATTAATTATAATAGCAGCAGAACTTCTTGTGAGAGTTCGTCTAGGGAGTACTGCCACCTTACCTATTTCTGCCGCTAAGCAGTAATGTGAGCATTACTGCGTTCCTGTTTGTAAGGAAAAGGGTGCTGGAGAAATTACAGGCAAATGGGACTTGTCAACTTATGTCTCAAGGTGATGGGCGCAGTGGCAGTGCCCCTCAAACCTTTATTATTTAAAGCTCTAAGAGTCGTATTCCAGAACTGTACTCAATGCTCAAGTTAGGATTTGAGCAGGCTTGAGTATGATTTCAAGCACTGGAAATATGACCCTAATGGCAAGGACTTGAGTATGATTGCTAGTGCTTTGAATCATACTCAAGTCTTGACTTGAGCATTGAGTAGTGTTCTAGAATACGACCCTAAGTGGCACTACAACTGTTATGGACAGGCTTTCCACCAGGCTCACGACTTGTTCGTCGGGTCACTTGGTATCATTAAAAAAAGTTTTTTATATGCTTTTGCAAAAAACAGAATACACAAAATACATGCAGGTTTCTTACCACGCCATAACTTTTTATTTTCCCGATTTAAAATACTTAAACTTAAATGCACATTGCGACTGGTGTCTATAATAGGGGTTAAAGTATGAAATTGCCGATTTGTACTGAAAATCTAAATTGTTTATTTTTTAAATTTTTAACAAATTTATTTAATCAAAATAGTTGCCATTATTATCTATACATTGCTGCCATCTAATGGGAAGGTTATTAATGCCTTTGCGATAGAACTCCGACGATCTAGACTGCACAAACTGTGTGAAAGCATTTTGTACTGCCTCCTGGGAAGAAAACTTCTTGTCACGTAGATAATTGTCCAAATCACGAAAAAAATGGTAGTCCGTTGGAGCAAGGTCTGGTGAATACGGAGGATGACGAATGGTTTCTAACTGCAGTTCCTGAAGGGTCAAAATGGTTTCTCGTGCTGTGTGAGGTCTCGCGTTGTCGTGGAGCAATAATGGTGAAGATCGATTCATGAGTCGGGGCTGTTTTACTGCTAGTTTTGTCAACATGGTTCGGAGTTCGGCACAATAGACATCTGCCGTTATTGCTTGACCAGATCGGAGAAAACTATAGTGAATAACACCATGCTGAGACCACCAAACAGTTACCATTACCTTTTTATTGGTAAGTTTTGCTTTAGGACACTGTTGTGGCATTTGACCTGGGGTCAGCCATTGCATTTTTCTTTTCCGGTTATCATAAAGAATCCACTTTTCATCACATGTTACAAAATCGATCCAATATTCCTTCATTTCTGTACCGGTTCAACAAGGCAACACAAGTTTCAACACGCGTTTCTTTCTGCAGATCAGTCAAATCATGAGGCACCCATTTTTCGTATTTTTTTATTTTATTGATTTGACGCAAGTGAGTCAATATTGTGGGTAAGGTAACGTTAAACCATGCCGCTAATTCCTGGGTAGTTTGACTAGGATCGGCTTCCACTATCTCTCTTAATTCATCGTTATTCACCTGTGTGGGCGGTCTTCCTCGTGACTCGTTCTTTAAGTCGAAATTTCCATCACGAAAGCGTTTAAACCAAAATCGCACGGTGCGTTCATTAGTAGACCCCTCTCCAAACGCAGCATTGATATTGCGGGCTGTTTCTGCCGCGTTAGTTCCGCGTCGGAACTCGTATTCAAAAATCACTCGAATTTTCGCAGTATCCATCTTTCTTGTCTAAATTGAATAACAAAAACAATTGAAAGTCGATATTCAAATGTTTCAAATTAAAAAAAAAAAAAATCACAGAAACCATTTGAAAAAAGTTTCATTCGAAAACCTCAAACCATGAAGATTCTATGAAAATTCAAAGAACCTATTGCAATAAAACGGCAATTTCATACTTTAACCCCTAATATTTAATTTACGAAAATGATGTCAACAATATTTTAGTGTATATCTATGATTCCCAAAGTGTTCTACATCGAACCTTAGGGATCACGAGGGGTCCGTGGCGAAAATAGGCGGTGCGTAAGACATTCATGAGAGTCAGCTTTGTAAACTGTCAAAACACGTTTAAAGTTGACGAGTTTATGAAAGAAATCCTTCTAAGCGCGTACAGCATCCGATTCATTTTCGTTCGGAATCCGAGACTATACAAATCTAGAAAACCCGGACCCACTTCAGACGTCGCTTGTGCACTAGAAGTCCGATTCGAATCCGAGAAAACACGAAAATCCTTGTGCACCTAGAAATAAAATGATCCTTGTGACATTTCGGACCGTCATTTCTCGGATTCGATACTGATAACGCTCTTAGAAAGGCAGGTCCCTACGTAAAACAGAAAAATTTGACACGTGGGCGTGGCCCAGACAAACAGTTTGAGAACCTCTTCACTTTGAACTAGGAAACGAATATATTCAAATGTACAGAGAGTTGATAATTATTAATATAATGTGTAAGAGTATAAGAGTATTTAGACACCGTGAAATAAAAGATACTCGAGAAAGTTAAATGTACAGTAAAATATTGTCTTATTACACCCACAAATTATCTTGTAATAAGACATTTACTTCACGCGTGTCTGTTGTGGATAGTCGTCAATCAATGAAAATCAAGAAAAGAATATTCGACCGGGCCACTCGTTGTTCAGTAAGTAAGCCGCTTATAAATTTTTCATTTCATATTTTTCTCGGGTTTTATATCGACGAAAATGCCATTTTGCAGGCATATCGTATTTACTACTATAAGAAGTAATAAATTTTACATTTGTTTCATTTATCTACGTCGTACTTTGTTGACGTAATGTAATTATGCTGTATAAAAAAATTGGTGTCATATATTTTTCTTTAAATTTTTCTTGTTTATCGGGTTCTTAGGTTTTCGCGATTGTTATAGGAAATGAAACTATTTTTTCGGATTTAAATCGCGTATATTTGTTCTTTCAAACAAACCGACGTTTCGGTCCCTTTACAGTCAACCGTGACCATGGGACCTGACGTCCAAAAATATATACCCCGCAGCTGCATACGAATTCAAAACGATCCGTGAGCTGTCCGCAGTTCGTTAGCCACAAACGCTTTCTTTTCGGACTTCGGATCCTATACACAATAACGGACCAATAACGTGAATGTAAAATGTGAATGGTGAAATAGGTTCTTTTACGTGTCTAAACAAAAATTGAACTGAACAAATGGCGGATTTTTTTAGTGTTGTATCGAAAAGTCATAATTGACTAGCAAACGTTTAATTAAAGTAGATCAGTATTCCATTTGGGAATATTTTACTTCTTATGGGAATATCCAGCAACGTCATGTGAGATTCTGAATTATTTATTTTGCATTTATAAATGCTCAAATGATACAAAAGGTGAATTTGTGCAGGAAAAAAAAGTAACTTGAGAGTATATTAAAAAAGAGAAAATTTTATGATATAAATCTGACGACCTCTATGCATTTCCAAGGACGAAGGACATATGCAGCTACGTGTATCGGATCTTTTCGAGTAAAGAGGCTCTGGGGCCTACCACAACCTCTTAAAACAATATACAGGGTGTAACAGCAAGGTGTAGTCATATTTGAAGGTCGGATTCAGTTAATGGTATGAAACTATTTAGCAAAGTTGTTTTAGTACAAACTACGTTATTTATGGAAATTTCGCCATGAACAGTTTCGATCAGCTGATGTCATTTAACGAAAATAAATAGTCACATCACATCTCTATTGAGTATCATAATACAACCAAATTACGTAACTTGAAAAAATTGTGAAATTCAGGCATGTTATTGTAAATGATAAAGT